GATTTATGTGCCCGTCTTCGCAGGTCTGGCCCCTGAATAAGACTCGTCCAGCCCTTTATGCCCCTAGACCTTTCAATAGGGCCCTTGATCCCCTGACCGGGTGGGGCCTCTAAGCACTTGGGGCCTCCTCGAACACTGCTTCTGGTCGAATTGGGGCCTCTTGACAACACAGAGCCCTTGTAAGGGGCTGTGGGGCCCGAGCAGTGTAAACCACTGGCTCCGGCTTTGTCCCTGCTTGGGAAATAGGCCCCTAGGCCTATTTCCGCCGCCACGAAGCCGCCACGAAGCCGACCGTGCGTTACTGGTGACGTCTTGCCGAAGTATGGGCCCTTGTTGACTCAGTGGGTCCCTGATTAACGCGCAGGGCCCTCTGGCTGACACTTGAGCGCCCGGCCCTGCGGGCCGGCGTCCCTGAATGAGACCTCTGGCCAACTTTTCGTGCCCCTCGGGCCCCCAAGTCGAGCCCTCAAATCGGAACCTAGGGGGGGGGGAGGGAAGCACGTGCCCCTATGCCCCCTGCCGGCGTTGCTACCAGCATGGCTCCAGATGGCCGTTACGGTATTTTTCTGGAGGGCCGCGGCCGGGTCACAGCCGGACTGCCCGCCCGCGCCTAGCTGGGCACCAGCCGGGCACGTGCTGGTCCAATATCACGATACAGCCGTGGTCTGGGCGGACGCTGGGCTCCAGCTGGGGTCCTGTCTGGCCCTACCTGATAAAAACGCTGTGTACCAGCTGGGTACGAGTCCGTGCCAGTGATGGGCCCAGCAAGAAACCTGCGCAGCAGAGCAGGGTTTATGATGGTCTCGACAGGGGCACAAGGGGGGCTCTGGCACGGCGCCGGCCAGTTTCTGACAGAGCGCCAGCTGGGCTCTGGCAAGGCACCAGTTGGTTTCTGACAGGGCGCAAACTGGGCTCTGGCGGCACCAGTTGGTTTCTGACAGGGCGCAAACTGGGCCCTGGTACAGCACCAGCTGGCTCTGGCACGGCACCGGTTGCTTTCTGACAGGATGCCAGCTGGGCTCTGTCTTTGCAAAGCCGGGCTGCCCAGGTGGGGCCCAGCCTGTTCCTTGTTTGTTCTCCATGCCACCTGGAGCTACTAACCCACGTGATGCAGTGTACTTACATTGGCTCAACATTTTTAGTAGCGGATAAAGCCCAAATTATTTCAGAGTTCAGGTGTTGGGCCCTAAACCTCACCTGGGCGAAGCGCAGATCGTTTGAAGTGCGAAGTTACGGGTTTAACCCTCTGGAATTGCGCTGCTTCAGTTTGGACACGACTCTTGCCATAAATGGTTCCGCGCTAAACTTGAGCGGTAACCAATCTGAATCCTAATAATCTATGTGTTTTGGGGCGTTTCTCAAAGTCATAAAATGATGAGGAAGGTACTTCAAAGGTAATATTGACGTTTTTAGGCTACCAGTGCTGTATAAAGGGCCATGGTATGTCCGTTTTGGCACAAGCTTTAAAGGCTATGACATGGACTGAAGCCCATTCGGCAAACTGGACCAGGAGCGACTGGAGCGGACTCAATGCTGAACTAAGCGTCTTGTCCACGGAGTAAGGCACTGGCCGTATCATGAGAGGCTCTGACTCCTACTGTCTTTGCTGTACTATCGACGTCACAGGGGAGATATGATTACGGTGTTCCACATGTTTCATAGAGGCACGTCGTTGCCGGTGGGCGATTTCTTGACGAGTTACGACTCGGCACTGGCAAGGGTATAACAATGGCACCTGAGAGAACCTCCAGCCAGGAACCCCGTCGGTCGGCTCATTCGGCTGCCCGGTCGTAAACTATAGGAAGGCTCTCCTACCGGCAAATCACCGTCGTCCTCAGCTGAGCAGCTCAACGCCAGGGTCGATTCGCTTTGGACTGCATTATGCATGACATCCCACACCGATTACATCTCTAAGCTGAAATTGTTCGGTTGCCTGAACGGGTCCCTGAAAAGACCAGGATCCACAGGTCAAGTGGCGTTTAATTCCTGATCGCCAGCGGGTAGTGCAGGTAATTTGGAAAGTGATCGTTTAGAACTCGTTGATGAAACTCATAACTTAAAGCCAATGTTTGTTATGCACAGCTCAAATACGATTTCTGAACTCACCTGTCTTGCCGCATGTGGACAACGAGTGTCCTAACAAGCATGCAGTCAGTCTGTATGGGTATTTGTACGACCCGTCATGCTTTGATTTAGTTTCTCCACATACAATAAAAAAGCTGCACACGACGACAGCCACAATGCTGATAACACCATCCATACGAACGCAGCTGTAATGCGGCCGCTGGCAAACGACGCACCAAAATTTGAATACGACTCAAGGCACTAAAACTGCAATACGACTGGGCAACCGGACCAAACCCAGTCTGAACCCTTTCACATTCTGAAACATAATTGGCGGCGCATCGCGCTACAGGCCCAGCAGGCCTCAATCCGGATTCTGCCTCGGTAATACCGCAGCTTATCAATCCGGGTTAAACAAGGGACGGCCCTAGCATGGCCTAGGCCGGCTGCACTGCTGTAAACATCCGCCTATCCGGGCCATGATAAACCGCTATCTGGGGTACCACTCCGGTTATGGCTGTATGATGAACATGAAAAGTCAGATTTGGCAGTCAAATCACACTTGGCTGCTACCAAATATGCGACATAATATACGCAGATGCGCCAAACGCTTGGTTTGTTTGGTTTTGCCGCTCGCGTGATGTGGAGCAAGGGGTCCGTGGGCTGTTTGGCTCCATTCCTGGAGGGTTACTACCTAAATAGCTGAGGTGCGTGCGGACTTCTAGTGGATTTTGTAAGAAGTGCAAGCTATTTCTGTATTCCGTAGTGTTATATGATTACACTGCGTGCCATGTTTTATTAATGTGATAGTGAATTTCCTGTTTTTAGGTACATGGCGGCCTGTTGCGTTCATGTCCTGCAGTAAATTGTGTTAAATGTGCATATATTTAAATTAAGATCCATTGCTGTGTGTTGTGGAACCTCATATTAGTGACTGGAGGGCAAACATATATTTGTAGGGTGCAGATGTCCTGCAGCTGGCTACATTAGCTTAAAAGTGGTGAAGGTTAGGGGCATATTTGCTAAAGTGTAAGTTTCATTGTAATGTTTCCACACTAAGATAACTTTTCTTGTGCCATAAATGGGTCCTATAGTGCTGGTAAACATCACAAGGTATGTTAATGAGTTGTGTGGGGATTATGTGTCCTTGTCATTTGATTTTCTAATTATTAAAAATTATGTTCTAAAATTTTATTTGCTCAGCTGTGTTTGATATCATGATGTCACATGATGTCACTTTAAATGGGTAGATTCATGCTCCTACCTTCAGATTTTAATAACCATGATAGCGAGCTCCCAAGCACTGCACACACCCCACCGCCTGGACTCCCCAGCGCTGTTTCTGCGTTATTGTGTAATGCAATATTTCTGCTTATCAAGAACCATAAAAATGTACTGGACTAAGTAAAAAATAATTATTCAATGAAAAATGTTTCTTATTGTGCCTAGGTACATTTATGAAATGAAAAAAGAATAGTCCAGAACATAGCCTAAACTAGCCTACCCTAACCTAACCTTACCTAATCTACCTAGCCTAGCCTACCTAACCTATCCTATCCTATCCTATCCTATCCTATCCTATCCTATCCTATCCTATCCTATCCTATCCTATCCTATCCTATCCTATCCTATCCTATCCTATCCTATACTATCCTATCCTATCCTATCCTATCCTATCCTATCCTATCCTATCCTAACCTAACCTAACCTAACCTAACCTAGCCCCCCACCCTGTCTCCTTCAACCCAGTGTCCCATTGGCATCCATGTTCCATGCCATGTATATGTACTGTATTAAGAAGTTTTGTTTAGCTGCCATATTCTCATTTTGCTTTTCATTCCCATCCCAAAATGTCATATTTCCCCACCATGTCAACCAATCTACAAACAATATGTAAGACTGCTTGGATATGCAAGAAACACATTTCATTGGATTCTTTTACCCTGGCCTCATACATTTTTATGGTTCTTGATGCGCAGTAATGTTGTGATCACGCAGTAATTGTGATCATGCGTAGAAATCTCGCCGGGGTCCCGGTTGCTGCCTGTTTGTGCTCGGATGTTTGCTATCATAGTTATTTAAGTTCCAAGGTAAGAGTTTAGATGACCTGTTTTATGATTACTTACAATATGTTCTCCTTAAAAATGATGATTGATGTACAATGCTCTTTCTGAACATGGGGTAGCAATGTATACCCTGACCAACTCTGGGACAATTCCTACCCATTACTGTAGGACTATGAGTCCATCATGTAACCCCTAGACTGCATAGACTGCAAAGTACTGCTAAGCACGCTTTTTAGCACCTTTTACAAGCTTTGGCATTTTTCATGAAGGGTTGTTAGATGCCGTGGGAGACAAAGTTCACATGAAAAGATGCAAATTTCAACCAATATGTTGTCCTTAGAATTTTGGATGGCTTGGATTGAAACTAATCACATGTAGTATTAGCTTGTAAAAAGATGTGTACTTTGATTGATGATACATGGGTAAAATGCACATCATGCATACATAACTATTACAACCATATGATCATGTCTTAATGTTGGCTTCCACACAGTAATGCTGCAAATCCTTTCAGCCTGAGGCCAGTTGGCCATTCTGCAGGGATGATGGTTGGTCACTGTCCGCGCCTGGTGGGCCAGTTGGCGCTCCCTCTGCTGCTCGGCGCGGGCCGCGCGGCGCCTCTGTGGCGGCTGGCCGGCGCCGTCAGGGGCCGTGTGCCGCTGACAGTGGCTTCAGCCGTGCCCCGGCCGTGGCCGCGCTGGCTCGCCTCGCTCTCGCACGGACCGGGCACGGACGACGTAGTAGAGCAGCCGGCGGGCGCTGGCGGCGCGGCGCCTGGCCGGCCGCCGGCCGCCGCTTACGTGGAGCACGTGCGCTCGCAGCGCCGCTCGGTGGTGCGCTTCCTGCGGGAGGAGCTGGGGCTGGCGGACGGCGAGGCCGAGCGCACCGCCGACCGCCACCCCTGCCTGGCGGCCGCCGGCGTGCCCACGCTGACGGAGAACCTGCGCTTCCTGACCGACGGCGGCGTGCTGCCGTATCACCTGCAGGAGGACGTCGACATACTGGCGATGCGGCATGGTGAGTGGTCGGCCGGAGCGGTTCTGATGGTCTCGAGCGCCACGGCGAACGCGAATTCGCCGCGCGTAGCGAATGCATTGCTCAGAGCGTTTGTGGTGAGATGTTTGCATTGGGAGAACTGGATGATCTCGCCACCTCATGACTGGTGCTGTTTAGCCCCACAGTCGAAGCCGTCCGCAGCAGGTCAAGCACTACAGTAAGAAGTCCATGTCGTGTACCCATTGCACAGCACGCCAGCTCTTGGACGGCTGGCACCAGTGCAGAAACGTGCTGGGTGTCGCCGCCTCAGGCCCTGACCATGTCCTCCCCGGCTGCAGCCGAGGTGGTGAGCGCACATGCGCTGGTGGCGCGCCTGCCGGGCGCCCAGTACCCGCTGTACTACCCGCTGAGCCGGGTGCAACGTGAGCGTCGGGCGGAATTCTTCCGCCGCCTGCCGCACCGCGGCTCCAATCTGGTCCAGGAGCTGGCGCACACGCTGAATGTGAGTGGGTCGACCGCGCCCGTCGACGGCGGGCGCACAGTCGCTTGGACCGGCTGGCGGCGACTGGGGGCTCATCCTGATCATGGTGCGCGTGGACTTTTGCGTATTTTCACGTTCTGTGTTTTCAGATGATGTCGGCACTCAGGATATTAACGTGAAACTGCCAGTCACCATATGGCAATAGAAGGCATGCATGCCTATCATGATGAGGGTGAACAAGTGATGAGGTAGTGATGGTTCGGGCGTCTGTGTCGGGGGTCTGCGCCGGTGTGATATCGGCGGTCGGTGGACGGGCCGGTGTTATGTTGGCGGTCCGTGGACGGGCTGGTGTGATGTCGGCGGTCGGTGGACGGGCTGGTGTGATGTTGGCGGTCCGTGGACGGGCCAGTCGTTTGACGGTCGGTGGACGGCAGTCCGTGGACGGCCCGGTGTGATGTCGGCGGTCGGTGGACGGGCTGGTGTGATGTCGGCGGTCCGTGGACGGGCCGGTGTGATGTTGGCGGTCCGTGGACGGCCCGGTGTGATGTCGGCGGTCGGTGGACGGGCTGGTGTGATGTCGGCGGTCGGTGGACGGGCCGGTGTGATGTCGAGGGTCCGTGGACGGGCTAGTGTGATGTCGGCGATCCGTGAACGGGCTGGTGTGATGTTGGCGGTCCGTGGACGAGCAGGTGTGATGTTGGCGGTCCGTGGACGGGCCGATGTGATGTTGGCGGTCCGTGGACGGGCCGGTGTGATGTCGGCGGTCTGTGGACTAGCGCCGGGTCGGGCTAGCGCTGAACCGGAGCCGCCTGGTTTCAGCTGCCGGTGCTGACCGTATGCCGGGCTGTCAGCCGTATGTCGGCCCACGTCTTCCAGTATCGCAATGCCAAGATCCTGCAGAACGCCAAGCTATGCACGGGTGAGGTTTCGGATGTGCCCACAGCAGGGTGTGGTTTCATGTGGATCTATGTTGTAATCTTTCTGAAATGCTACAAAACTGTCTGGTGTGTCCTTATCTTGCATCCACGTCTTTTTCGTCACTTGCACATGATATGTGAATGTTAACACCACTTGTTTCGTCGTAAAAATCAGAGTATCTGGGTCGTCTCTGTCGATTGTCTTTCCTTGCCAGGGCTGCACAAAACCCTTCGCCCTGTGTAGAAAGTCACGTTTTACGAGGGTGTTCCACGACGATGCTCGTGACGGCCATTACGGTAGCCAAATTTACAGGAAGGCTTCATAAGACACCGACCATTGGGCTCCGTGCGATCATTTAATCAGTTTGCCTGCCATCCCTTCATGAATGTTAGCGGATGGGTGGTGCCGGCGTGCCGCGGAACCGAGGCCAGTGACACCAGCGACAGCAGCCACGGCCAGTGAGGCCAGTCGCGGCCAGTGAGACCAGCCACGGCCAGTGAGGCCAGCCGCGGCCAATGAGGCCAGTCGCGGCCAGTGAGGCCAGTCGCGGCCAGTGAGGCCAGCCGCGGCCAGTGGGGCCAGCCACGGCCAATGAAGCCAGTCGCGGCCAGTGGGGCCAGCCACGGCCAGTGGGGCCAGCCACGGCCAGTGAAGCTAGTCGCGGCCAGTGAGGCCAGCCGCGGCCAGTGGAGCCAGCCACGGCCAGTGAGGCCAGCCGCGGCCAATGAAGCCAGTCGCGGCCAGTGACATCAGTAACAGCAGGCGCGGCTGTCTCTCGGCAGAGCTGGGAGTGTCGCCGGCCGATATGGTCCGCTCCCTGTACGTGCTGCGCATGCCGGGGCCGCTCATCCGGCGCAGAGAGGCCGAGTGTCGGCGCCGCGGCCTCCCGCTGCGCCCCTTCTACCTGGGGCTGACCGAGGCTGAGTTCCAGCGGTGAGTGGGCGAGCTGGTCTGCCGCTGCGCGGCTTCTACCTGAGGCTGACCGAGGCTGAGTTCCAGCGGTGAGTAGGCGAGCTGGTCTGCCGCTGCGCCCTTCTGCCTGGGACAGGCACAGGTTAGGTTCCAGCGGCGGCAGGTAGGGGTCGGCCAGGCGTGCCTCCGCCACCGGACGGGCTGAGCTATCCTATATGGATCGCTCCTAGACCAGAGAGGGGAGCCTAATATTATGGCCATTACATGTGGACGTAAATGGTGTCACTGAAACATCGCATTGGGAAGTCGCATGGCAGCTCGCACTGCTGGCATTTGGCCAAAATACCTTGGCTGACATGTTCCTGAGCTGCCATACACTGCAGGTCAACCTACTCGACACCGCCGCCCCCGGATGACACAGCACTACTGATGCTGTCCGGATTACGTGGCACCGCTGTTGTCTGGGTCGCCGGTCGCGTGAGCCGCCACTGTGTCCGGCGGCAGGCGGCTGGCGGAGGGCGGCCCGCTCCCGGAGCACACGTCCGACGTGGCGGCGTTCGTGGCGCGCCGGCTCGGCGTCAGCGTCCAGCTGGTGCGGGAGCGCATCGAGCACATGTATTGGCCGCGCTCGCTCACCGCCGCCCGCTTCGAAGAGGTGACCGCCCTGCTGGAGGCGGCCGGCTACCGGGGCGAGGAGCTGGCACGCGCGCTGCCCGGCGCCTACCTGCGTCCTCCGGCGGCGCTGCGGTGGCGCCTGGAGCAGTGTCGCCGGCTCGGCTGCGCCCGCCCGCCCACCCATCTGCTCTTCTGCCCGGCCGACCGGTTCGAGCGAGCGGCGCGTACCCGCAGCCGGCCCGGCGGACCCTGGACGGCCGGGCAGCAGCGGCCCGAGGCCGTGGGAGAGCAGGAGCGGCACCGGCGGCCGGAACGGAAGGTGAAGCGGCCTGATGGGGAAGATGAGCGACTTGATGGAGAGGGGGAGCAGCCCGAGCAGGAGGGGGCGCGACCTGATGGGGAAGAGGAGCGGCGCGATGGGGAAGGGCATCAGCCCGAGCCGGAGGGGGGACGGCTGGAGGGCGAGGGGCAGAGGCCGGAGCAGGAGAGGGAGCGGCTCGAGCGAGAGAAGGGACGGTTGGGGAGGGAGGAGGAGCGGCATGGGTGGGAGTGGATGGAAGTCGGATTGGAAGATGGAACGGCGACAGAGCTGGAGAGCGCAGATGGAGACGACTGCCGAGTCAACTCTCACGAAGACGGTAAGGGTGACCTCGATGTAAGTGCTAAATTCACCGGGATAAGTACTGCCGCCGGAACCTCTGAAAGGGGACGGAAAACAGTGGCCCCTCCAAGAGCGTAGGGGGAAGGGAAAGGGGCAGAACCGTCACCCGTCAGGAGGATAGCTCAGGCTGTGCTGTGATTGAATAATATATATATCGAGATGACTGGAGAGAAAAATGCACGGCTGGTTTGACAGGCTTGTCGACCGGTCAGGTTAGTTCAAACTGAGTTTGCAGATGATCGCTGGAACGCCATTAGTGATTTGTTTCGGGATCGCCTGCCTGTATTGTGCAGCCAGCTTTGTTAACGCGTCGTCCACCGCAATCAAACCGAACAGGCAACGCGCGCCCAAACCGTCCGCCACCGGAACCACAACGCCAGCCTGCTGGCTCGCCGACACAAGGCGACTGCCATGGGCACAGGAATGTCTGGCATTTATTCACAAAGCGGGCCGTTGGTACATGCCACTGAATTACCGACGTAGGGTACACATGTAATAATTCATAACTAAAAGTCAATTGCCTTCGGCGGCATGCTCATTCAAATTAACCACAGAGTGGCTGTTGCGCATAGACCAGCCAGCTACTTTCCGGCTGCGGGACGCACCCAGCCAAAAATCACAGCGCGTGACCTTGCGTGCCAGTACAAGCATCCATCCGCATATGCATGCAGCACATATTTTGAATATATGATGCCAATCATAGCATCACAGACCTTAAAAATAAGCTGTTGTGCTCAAGAACAAAAGCAATGTAGAACAACCAATTTCAATCTGGGGAAAGCAGACCTTCAAAACAACAAATACGCAAGCAGATCTTCACACAGCAAATACGATAGCGACAGGCAACACAGAGGTGACCACAAGGTGATGGAGGGATTTCGGTAAGGGTGGTGGGTGGCGCCCTTGTAGCATACGTCACTTTGTGCGATGACCGAGCGCTGGAGAGTGGATCAGTAATGTTCACTAAGAATAGCCGACCAGTTCTGTCGCCACATAGCTTTTTTTGGAGTCCAAATCGTGGTATCCAATGGGTCCTCTCTCGCAGTCGGCACACACTAGATACTTCTTGCTGCCCACAGTCTTGCTGAATCCGATATTGTAGAAGGTGTACATGTCATCCACTTGCCACCACTTGGTCACTGTGCGATCCCCGTCACCGTCCTCAGTAGGCAGCTGCTCCTCGAATTCTGTCAGCGTGCTGTCACCGGCCAGGAGAATTTTGCACGGACAGTGCAGACAAACTGCATTTGAAGAGTTTTTCCCCTCTGCTGACGCAGCAGACATCTTCCACATAAGTATCTGCAACACATGTTTTGTTAGATCCCTGTGAGCGTGTCTTATTTCCTCCTGCTGCAATAAGCTTTTTATCGCACGCATTTCTCACCCGCCGCGGTGCGGCACTCGTGTAGCCGTTCCACGGTTGGCACGGTGGGTTGGCATGGTGCGGGCGGTAGGAATGGTGGACAGGCGTCGTCCGTCGTGTATGACGCGGGCCTCAGCTGCACACGGTGCCAAGGCTCGGGAGGCCAAAGCCGGCCGCCGAACGACGAGAGAATCCCGAACCCGGTGTTGCAGATGCTGTGGCTGGGTGTTGCACGAGCACAGTGGAAAAGCTTGTCCTGGTGCAAGCCCTGCACAGGCCATGGAGCTCTGCCATTCTGGGTACTAACACCCAGGTACCCTGGAGTAGGTTCTTGGGGATGACGGGACCAAAGAGGGTGGGGCATAGGTTCGTAAATCATGATGAGGAAGGGGGTGTATGGTGACTCATGAACCTTGGCATGTGTGGAGTGGGGAAGGGTAAGCCAGATATCATTGGCCTCCTCTTATGACAAGCAATTATTGACATTGACATTGCCCACACAACAGACACATTAAAAACATGGCTGTATTTGTTTCACAACCTAAGTTGAACTGGAGACCAAACAGACATTAACTTCTCAAAACATCTACCCCCACATAGGATGAACAGAGGGAGTTCAGCCTCACACTCATGGCCATAGTGTAACTGAGCCCATCTGAAAAAATCAGCCACAATGCAGACTACATAGCACTGCTGTACTGCATCCAATGTCTGTGTGTGCCAAGATCTGGTCAGGGCAACTTGTACTGCATTTTCAATTCAAGTATTTCTTGCATCATCTTTGCACACTCCTAATTCCCTGAGTCACTGCCTCTTTATCCCTTAAATTGGTTGTAACTGTACACAAAACTGACCACTCAACTTTACAGGATACATGTGCTTAACTTCTTGTCACATCTACTGGAGACATCTTCTGTGTAAAGTGCATTATTGGTTCAGTAACCTGGGCAGAAGGGTAAAATTGGATACAACAGTGTGACAATAATTTATTGAACATATTGTCAGCTGCACAAATGAGCTCTGTGGTAATAAGCCCGGTAAAATTACGATGTTTCGGCCAATATCACACAAAGCACTATTTTACCATGTCACCAAATTTCATCCCGAAGTTGGGGAGGGGCGGGAGCCGATCCAGACACACCTCAATCCGAAGTTGCAACCCTGGTCTGTGGGACATACCCAGCGCGCTTATGTAAAGTACCTATCCATCCGTCCTTTACAACACCTTCCAACCAAAGCGCTATATGCCTTGTAAAAAAACGTACCCAGCGCCTACCTTGAGGGTCTGCGTAAATAGTAATATCGCCTTCTTCGTAAATAGTAACTTCTGGTAATATCGCCCACTCACGAACCCATTCACTACAAGCCTTATGCGCTCTCGCCACACACGCGTCAGTAGCGCCAAAAACTGTCCGGTAATTCTCGTTTTACCTCCGCTTATTCTCGGCGTGATGTCACTGGTCACATGACTCCAATACGCGGTGGGCTGCTTGACGTCAGATGATTTCTGAGGAACAACCGAGCATCAACACATTCGTCGAGCAAATGAAGTAGCCGTTAGCGGAAAGGAGAATATGAACAGCAAGCCGACTACGCATAATTCTGTGGCGAATGTGATGATGTGCTCTGTGGTAGGCCAAATGCAGCGGCGTAAATAATGAAGACGTACATCGAGTTTATTCGTAGTAGGGCGGCAGGAACATCAGGCCGTCTTCGCACGCATAACAAAGTGCTGGGAGGGGGCGGATGTATGCAACCAGCGAGCTGATTGGGAATGATCTAACGATGGGTATGATGATGCGTGTGGGGTGAAAGTAAGTGGCAGACCGATGCAACATGCTTCGATCTTATACGGATTCGCACCCCGTAGTCGTGCCGCCGGTGGTGCGAGTCATTGGCGGGAGTGATATAGTCCATTGTTTTTTCTGGTTATTTTTTGTGCTAGATGTGCCAGATACATCATTTTGGCGAGAGAGGAGCGTAGTAGAGGAGACTACATGCCCAGCTACTTGCTTTACCTCTTACCTTATGCTGATCGGGAATTTTAAAAGGCACCTGGCCTCTCGTTCCCGGTCTCTTCCAGCTACCGTTTAGGTAATCGAACAGTCTCAGTTATGGATGTGATGAGTTGATTGGTGAGAATTTACCAGATAAGCGCCGGTCTATGCAGAAAACGTTTTGACTCGTGGAAAGCTAGCAAACATAGATATTTGTTGTACTGGTAGGGCGTACTTTCCTGCCCACCTAGACCTAATGCATTCATTCAAACATAGGTGGTGGCAGGTGCCATCTTCCTGGACATCCCACTTTTTCTCGATAGCCATTTTGGTTCCTCTTTCCAGGTGACGTTCATAGGGCCAATGCTGAATTTTAAGAAAACTGGAGGCTCATGGCTCTCCCTAACATCCTCACCTCTGCATAAGTGCATTAACTTGCAACGCCGATTGAGTTCTAACTTTTTTGCTGAGTATAAGCTCTCAGAGCACATGAACATGCTTGTCATTCAGTTCTACCTGATGGGTTAGCAGATATATGCACCTACCAGTAGTGATCTACTTGTTACCGGTGAGAAGGTATCTCGATATTCAGGCTGCTTTCCTCGAACAGTTCATAGTGCAAGTTGTCGCTTGGTGCTGATTGCATATAACCGCTAGACGTATGGAACTTGCAATCAGCACCCGATCATAATCTCCATGCCGTCTGGAAATGTCCAACTTCCAGAAGAACTCGATTAAAGAACCATTATGCATAATAATTTCGTAGGCGTCGAAACAAAGCACCCACCGCCCGGTGTTGCAGTCTCCGCAGGCAGCGCGCCTTAAGTCCTGTGGCTAACACAAGGCGGCGACCAACAGGCGGGGATGATGATGCATCTGAAAGAAGAACCTTTTGTCGCCATATGATATAATTCGTGCGATAAGGAGGCAGTCCTGGCGGAAATTTAACCTGTGTGGTTTTGAGGATGATACCATGAACGAATTAGCATTTACAGCATCACGGACTGAATGTGATGGTGGAACTGGAAAACTAACTGTAGAGGCTCTGTTTCTCGTGTTACTTGAATTGTCGTAAGAGTTAATCTGTTCAGGGGACAAACCCAAAATTCTTATCTTTGAACGACACGAATCTATTTTGAAAGACTAGGAAGCAGTATTTCACGACGGGCGTTCTCGGTCGTTCGGTGCCAGCCGCTCGGTGTTATCCGCAGCGGTCAACACCGTTCTGCTTTACGGAAACTGGAGTTCTGACTGAACATGTTCTTGTTTCTAAGCCCGCTGGCGCACAGGCTCAAACGCATATACCTTTCTGGCAAGTTGATTCTGCGAAACAATAGACGCTCTCAGGTAGAAATGAAATGACATTTTCTTCCTTTTTGACCTTTTTCGCGCCACTCTATTGAATGGCAGTGAGACCCCTTATCATATTCCGGACAGGGGACCCATGGGTACAAACTAGGGGACGTGATAATTGCTTTGGTGGGCTGAAAGGCCATTGAGTCTCAGCGTGGGATGCCTACCGGCTGCCCCCTGGCGATAACGGGGCGGGGGCCCCTGGTCGATCCAGAGGCCCTGCGGGACACGCATCATACGATGGCCCGTTCCTGACGCAAGGGGTCTTCTGACCCTGGCGTTTGACCCCCGCTCTATGCAGGAGATCCTAATGACACACCGAGATGCCTTATCACCGCAGATGGGTGAATAATTGGCACAAAGACTCAAGTTCGGCCTAACAGGCCCTTAGCTGAAATGGGGTGTAAGGCACTCTGTTCAGGACTGAGGACCCTGACTGACATAGAGTCATTCCATTATACTGCTGTGGATTCTTATTAGGAGCTCTCATATCTCCTTGCTTTGTCAGAGAGCC